GGAAAACGGTACAGGGGCTTGTCACTTGCCACCCCTTCGTCGCATCAATTACTCGTTAAATCGTAAATCGTTGTCAAACGAGAAACCGAGTGTTCAGTTACGGGATAACAAAGTGAGGAAAAGAGTAAAAAAGGTAAAGAGAGAAATTAGGGACTTTGAGATGGATTATTTTTTAGAAATATTTGGCTGTTTCTGATTAAGAAATTCAGTTTTCAAATTACTGAATGTATGGTATAGCATATGTATATAAAATTTTTCCAGCCCGAACATGGTGCGTTTTTTATTACATGCTTTTAAAATTTAAAGCGCCCTTCGGTATTCGCCGCATTGGGTGGTAACGCACCCTCGCCCTTCTCTGAAGTCGATACTGGATATAACAGAATACTGTCAAAATTATAGATAAGACTTGAAAAAAATAACAAAATATTAATTATTTAAATAAATACTCAACCGAGCAAAAACGAAGTATTTTCAAGATATGTAATTTTTTGAAAATAAAAAGCTCATAAATGGTATTGGAAGTTACAAACTCGTTAAATATATATGTACGAACAGTGAACAAGTAAATTCAGAAAATTGCAATCTAAAATACGTGACACTTTCTTCCGCGTAATCACAGTTATATATTCTGTACAGTGAAACATTTAATCATTCTTGCCTGGATTGTGTATGAAACCGTAAATAATGATGGGAAAAAATTGATCGGTATACGATTTGTACTCAATCTTAAACTTGTCGGATATCTTGAAATGCATTTCTATTTGCGACTTTAAAAGTTCTTACAAATTATTGAAAGACTAAAATTCAAAGCTGTACAATATTTCACTCTCTAATGCGTGAGGACTATATAAATGATCGATTCTAAAAAGTATTAAAAAATATATTTATATTTCATATAAAAAATTACTCAGGGAAGCATTTGTACAAAAACAGCAACAATTTCATTCAAGTAAATAAAAAAAAAAATGATTGATTTGATTGAAAATTGTAATTTATGGAATTTTTATGAATAATTTTGCAGGTGAAAATGTGAAAGTCGCGAATTTTGATGCCAATTTAATACTTTGCCCTCTTTATTTTTTTTGAATGGCTATCCGTTTCATTCCACCCTATGGACATTTTCATTTGAAGTGCACGTAAAATATATTTGAAAGTTTGGTCATTTATTTCTGGAGCACGCTGTAGACATTAAGAGCGGAGGGAATAAAACATCCACATTTGTTTGCCGACATTCAACAAAGTTCTGGCTACGCGATTGCCAAATTTATTGAACGATACGGAACTGTGAAACGAGTAAATCGACAGTTGGTCCGAACGAAAAGCGTATCTCATGCATATCTTTCATATTTGAAATATATTCTTCTTCCTTATTATCATATATCATTGTTCATTGCTGCTTCTTCCGTTTAACTCATTGATCCTTAAATCCTACATTTGTTTCAGCTAATTTATCTTATTCCTTCTGACAGTGTACGAATCAGTTGTTCAAAGTATTACAAGCAATCTTTCAAATTACATTTACTTATTTAATTGGGAAAAAAAAATATTTTAAGTTACAAATTAATTTCAATAGTCAATCAAATATGATAAAAAATCAAGTAATATAATAAAATTACACAAAATATCGTAAAAACTTAAGAGCATATACAGAATACAAGTACACTTTGCACGTAATAATATTTATTATATATGTTGTAAGGGTTCATAGTCGCGAATATTACTATAATTCTAAGAGGGAGACAGATTTGTAACGCGCGTGTGGCCCGAAGCGGTCGAAAGAACAGTTGTACTTATGGTCTCATAAAATATATTTGTTTTTATTTCTCTCTTTCATTTCGTTTCTTTGTGAATTTTATGTACCTCCCTTAGAACAACACGTTGTTATAACTATATTGAACTGCATAAGACCTATGTTGTTATACGGTTGAGAAAAAACTGTCCACAATTTCAGAAAAAATATCAAGTTTTTACACTCGAATCGGTCAGTTGAAAAATATTTTTGTAGCGAACCTGTTTTTTCTGTTACCGATAAATTTTTTAGATTTTTCACGTAATGGATTTTTCAGCCCATACTTTAAGGACTATTTTCACTCCATCGATATGAACGTTGACCGACGAAAAAACTACGTATCGAATACCTTTACCAATACTACATCATATCAAAGTTTCATCAAACTCGAGACGTACCACTTGATTAACATTCCTCAATTATTGGATCAGAAAAGGTATGCTTTTTAAACTGAATAATTTTAAGAAGTGTGAGCGAATGGTGAACATTCAATTTCAATTCCAGTGAACAGTAGAACATATATTCTTTTATGTAACTGCATGATTCGGCAGCCACGCGATTCGCTTGTTAGTCGTTCAAGAAATAGAAGTTGGACGTTTTCAATTATTTACTTGATATCTTGAATACAAACTTTCATGTTGCAAAATGCTACCAAGTTTTTTGTATCCTTTGTAATAGAAAATTTATGATTCCTACAATGTAAACCCTTTTTTTAGACAGCCTGATATATATAAATGAAATCTAATGAATAGAACAGAAATGTCTGATGAATGTCATTATACTTTTTAAATTATCTCTGAAATCAGAATTTCTATGTAATGAAGGCATGTTAAACGTCATCAAATATGCCCAACGTTATTTCAACTAAAGCTAAATGTATCAATTTTTAATATAATTTTTAAAATAATATTTTAAAAGGAAATAATATGAAACCCAAAATGAAATTAAAATTGAAGATAAGAAGGTAAGAATTGCACTTTGAAATTCAATCCTTGAAAAAATAGAATAAATTTAATGGTTCAACAAACATTTCATGGTAATCAAAGAAACGTGCAATTTAAATCAAATATAAACCACTCGAAATGGTTTTTGAAACGATTGTGAGTAAACCTTTGCCACTCATTACCTTGGGGAATAAATTCACCTTTGCGATAATATTAGTAATTGCCTTTGAAATTTCGATTGCTCTTCCATACAGAATCAATGCATAGATATGGAAAACAGTCAATTATAATAATGAATTTCAGAAGTTATTTAACGTATTGCATGAATTCTAACAAACATTTAGTCTTCACTTCACAAACATTCACTTCATCAATCTATTTTGGAAACTCCTCATCAGAACTCATCGCAGCTTGTGAATGGCCACATGATTAAATTATATGTGACATAACGAAAATGAATCGTTTTGGAACTAGCTTCAGCAGCGATACTGTTATAACTTGTACCTTCCAATTTTCATTTATAAGTGTATCAAGAGAAGAAATCAGCTGAGAGTAAGGTAACGGATAAATCAGGTTGACAAATTACTTGCATTAAAACATTAATTAGAAAAAAAATAAAAAATAAATGGTAATAGTTCTTTCAGTCAATAAATGTAATAAAATACAAAAAGTAAGGTACGTATAAATAAGTAGGTATTTATTTCACTCAAATGAAAAAACAGTTATGTTTTTGTGAAAGTGACAAAAGAGAAGAAAAATTAACGAAGTTCATTTTCATGTTAGAAGCCTGGAGAAAGAAATTTTGAGTACAAGAAAATTAATAACTCCGTTGAGTATACTCCATTCCGAAACAGTTGGGAACATATTAAGCTACAAGACATTTTTTGCATTCTTAAGTAGTCTCGCTTCATTTGTTCAATTCTGAGCACACCTCGCACAAACTGAAGGGATTATTTTTATTCTCGTTTGGTGGTACAAGTATGCCTTGGGAAATGTGCATACATGAAACCGTTATCAACATTTTAAAAAGTGAAATCACGAGTGGGAGATGTGCTGTTCACTTTTAACCCAAGACTACAATTATGGGTCAGAAACGTTATTACAAGCCAAGTGGTTAATTAACCCTAGGACAGTGACGGGGTGTGGTCACTGACACGGTTAACATTTAAGTTGAGATCATATGCATGATCAAGAATAATATTTTGTAAATTTGTTCATATTCAATAAATACAAGCATCGGTATTTATTAAAAACTAATTTACATTTTTCTAAGCTTAAACCATTATTATTATTATTTTACATAAAATTTGTTTAATTACACTATATGAAATTAGTTGAGTTCGATTTTTATTTTGAAACATAAAAACAAAACATTAGAAGCTCATATGAGGAATCAAAGGGATCATATACACAGGTGTAAGAGCCACCGTGACGTTGACGAGGAATGTGCTAATTAACGGGTGTCACATATGACACCACCCTAACTACAGTTCACACAAAATGATTATGTTACTGTTCCAGGGTTACAAATGTGTTTCCAATAAACACCTTGAACCATGAATGATTCCTTTGTCACAAAACGCGTTAATACAACCCCCATATTCCTTACCTCTCCCCAGATAACTCCTACAGCACATACATATCAATTCCATTCGCATCAAATTCGCACTAACATACACATCAAAGCATCTAATAACGTTCAAAGCACCAAGCATTATCAAAACCACAAAATTAATATCCCTCCACCAGTTCATCCAAAAAAAGAAAAAAAGGAAAATACTGCTCGAAAACTCCCTTATCCTTCCTTTTCCCGCCCAGCAATTTTGTCTCCCGCACGAAAAGTGTCCAACCCAACAACACGTCTCAAATATCGATAGTAATGTGTACGGAGTTAAGTATCCGTCGCGTTTCTTCAGTGATAGGTGGGTTGTCACATACCAGGTAGCGGTGCATCAAAAGACTGTACATTCAGGTGACGATACGAGGCGTCACGGGGTGATCGAGAATGGAAATACAAGATCCATCGAGCAGCGTCGCGGCGAAGGGGGTTGAGACGGCGCGGCGCGACGGGACGCGACGCGGTGAGGCGTGGCGAGGAAGGGCGAGGGACACCGTGAAACGTGCCGGACGATTTGAGAGGGCCGGCCGGCTGACGCCGTCCAAGGGCTGAAACAGGGAGTGGGGCGAGAGAAGCGTCGCGACGCTTCTCGGTAGCGCCACGAACTAAAAGTCCGGGCGGTACGACGCGCCAGTATTCAGCCCGCGATCGTCGCGAGCGTACGTGTACTTTTCTTCGCTTTCGTTTAAACCGATGCGCTCCGTTTGCGCATCACTCGCGCGCGCAACACACACGAGTTACTCGCAATCAAACGGTCCTGTTCAAACGCGAGCTGACCTTTTTTTTTTTCTTCACGAGATACAGTTTGACAAGCGCCGCTGGAAGGGTGAAATTTCGAAAGGTTGTTATTTGTGATCCGTCAAATGGATTTATCGAAGCCGTTTTCGATGCGATTCAACTTAAAATTTTTTTCTTTCCATCGAAGTGAATTCTTTTCTTCAAATTCTTACATTTAAGAAATTTGAGAAATTAAATTTTCCACTTTCCTCGATACATTCTTACAAAACTTAGAAAAAAAAATTCACCTGTATTCAATTATGAAATCAATCGTGATCGTACAGAGGATTCCTCGTTTTCAATTGAAATGGTAACCGAAGAATTCCCGCAATTTTCGAATCAAACATTTCCATCCGTTCGATATTTATTTCTCGCTGTTCCGTATCGATAGTTCGAAACGCGTGTGGTATTTAATAAAATGTAGCATTCTTTGGAGGGTGCAGTCTGGTCATTCCTCGATTCGGAAAAATACGATCCGCGCAGGGAATATCCAAGTATTGTGGGCATAGGTCATGGTTTAACCGTGGTTCCGTGATAACGAATCCCCTCAATCATACCCCGATGCTCGTTTCTTCATAGATGCAATCAATTTCTACCCTTATGTGTTGCTTTTAACCGAGCAACAATTACGCTCGTTGCAATTACTTCTCCGGAACATCGGTGAATTTTCATTTTCCTTTTCTTTTATCGAAATCGAAGAGCACGTACGTGACTCCGGTTACGTTGCAGACACCGTGATCTCATCCTGGCAACGAATCTTATTCGACGTTCGAACCGTCGCGTTGGGATTGGTAACAGGGCCGCCGCTGTGGCTTAACGAGTTCAACGAGTTTTTCCTCGGTCGACCGTTCGTTAATTGAGGATCCAGTGGCACACAGAATTTCCACCGATACGATACCTTTATCGACGAATTAATCCGTATTGATTCGCCGTGGCAAAACGTGGAAAAAAGAGTTTGTTTTTTCGTCGTGCCGACCGATGACATAGACTGCCGCGTCCGTACACACATCCTGAGGACCAATGGATTTTGATGAATCAAGTTTTGTACGCTTTCGATTTTCATCATCATACCCGAACTCTTTGACGAGCCGAGTGACGCCTTCTCTTTAACAACGTTTTTTGATTCGAGCGGACCGGACGAGCACCAGTGGATTCGAATTTGTGACCGAATTTCAAAGCTCTCGTTCGATCGAGCGAAACTGCAGGATCGATGTATAAATGGCGCGATAAATGCCGCGAGTGTCTTAATTAATTATTCCTGAGAACAGTGCTTCTGTCGTTTTCAAGAGGATTATCGATACCATGGGCGTGTTACCATAGTGTTTCGCGGTTATAGATTGATTTTGTAGGAATAACGTTTGCAGCATTGATTCAATGTAACTGGTTGAAGATTCGAAAGTGTTGATTTTTGAAAATTTTTTTTAGATGCCTTATGGTTTTATTATGTACGCGATGCATGCTGAAATATTCACGATAAAAGTGTTTACTGTAGCTATATATGCAACGCTGTTTTGTTGGGACACTTCTAAGACTGATACTGTTTACCAAATAATCCTAATGGTATTCCTATCACGCACCCCATCGATTATTCGTTTCGCGTGGGAACACCTTACCGGTGACATCGATTCACTTACAGCGTTATATTTCAATTTATGACACTTTTCAACGATATTTTTCGAAACTGGATAAATACATAAAAATTGCACTTCTTAAATTTATTTAAAAATCGTTTCGAGACACTTAACCCTAGGATAGTGGACCATGGAGAAAGCTACAATTTTAATTTAATTTTGTATTATGTTTTATTAATTTTTTAAATTTGGCACTGTTCCTTAAAAAATTACACATTTAACTTTAGATTAATGTGTTTCTATATGTTTTGTAAGTTTGGGTCATGATTGACCCAGGCTCCGCTATCCAAGGGTTAAAGAAAGCAAAATTTTTTATTAGTAAAATATTGGTATTAATTAAATTATAATTTAATTCATTTTCTGTCATTTGACGATTCTTATACTTTTTCACTGATTATCATATAACAAATTGTTTCTCGAGAAAGGGTGATTGTAATTTAACACATGTGTTCTCTGCAATGTATAATAATTTCCCTAATGAGCAAATTATGAATTTTTCAATGTTTGGGGTGCTGATTATTCCAGTTAGTAATTTATAATTAGTAATTACGAGTGTATAATGTGACAGGGAAATAGGTGATATATTGTGAAATATTCAAATTTCTGATATAAGGTGTTCATATTTTGAAGAGGAATCTTCCCCATCCTACGTATTAGGTGCTGAAAGAAGTTGGTGCAGACTTGTAACACAAAACTCAAGTAATCTAAACTTTCTCGAAACATAACCATATTTAACAAAGTAATCGTCATTCATTTCTATAACTCTTCTTTAATGTTCTTTAACTTTCCACATTCCATTAGTATGAAAGTCTTCAATTTTACTTGCAGAAAATTAATTAACTGCTGTTTTAATCTCGTCACCTGGACTGTGATATGTTATCTCACATTTTCTTCTTAAAGGACTTTCCATAATCTCCATTATTTCTTTGCAAATTTGAAGTTCTTTATATTTTTATCGAGGCAGTTAAGTAATATGAGATCATAGATATACTAGGTTTAGGATTTTCTTAAGCTCTCCCAAAATCAAAAGCAAACGATGAGAACCCACCCTTTGTTTCTACCCTTATCTAAAGGAAGTCCATTTTGCACCCAGGTGTCTATAAATATCTTATAAAATTAAAAAGACATTATCGAACATACAATATTTCCCATTTAAAAATAAACAAGTGATTGCAGTGATTATTCTTCGATAAATCATCGATTCAACCCTCCGCAACTGGAATTTTGTCCCTCAAAAAAGCAAATGACAAAGTACCTCTAAAAATTCCTGCCACTGTTAAATCACGCCCGATTAAGACACAATATTTGTTCCATAACTCGTTACGATACGTCGCGCACAATGGGGCAGGGTGAAAAAGGAGCGATGGGGGAGGGAAAGTTTTCAATTTACGAGAGAAAACTGAAAGTTACACGAGTGTATGGAGGATTAAGCGATATCGGTACGGTGAAAGAAAGTCAACGTGTCAAAAATAATCGCAGGATAATCGCGTTCGGGCGTAAATTGTTCTCCGGGCTGTTTATATACGCCTGGACGGTTAATAAGTTGTTAGAAACGACGTTTCTCCCTGTACGTTAAATAACCGAGGCGAACGTTTCCTGCCACGCGACGAGCAAAGTCCCTCTGGGCTGCTGGCGTATTAGCAAATTCGATTCGGTGCGGTAACTTCCACCGGTGAAACACGGATTGGAGGGATAATGCGAGCGACGGTGACGTCGACGTTTAATAAAGTTTTTCACACCCGGTAAAGTGGACCTGCGGCTGCGAGCCCGGGTAGATGACATTTTCTGGATCGACGCCGGGGAAAATAAATAGTGTTTCCGTTTTGTGTTTCCATTCGACACCCGTATTTATCGCTTCCGAATGCTTGAGATGATTTCACTGCTACGCATCGTGATACGTGAATACAGTGATATTTTATCAACCGGATACAAGCGAATACGACACGTTGAAGATGTGAATTACGATTTTCAGCTACGATATACAGGGTGTTTCAATGTTTTCGAAAAACAATCCCAGCATATTCTGCGAATACTAATGAGATAATAATGTTTAAATGCGGGCTTAAAAATGATTCATTAAAGAATTAAGTCATTCGCAGTGTAATAAATTCAATTTTTCATAGATATTAGTCTTGGATTTATTAGAATGGGTGACACTTTGAAATGCAACTAATATTGATAAATATCCCTAATTTGTTTTTATGAGCCATAATAAAACAAAAATAATAATGAAAATAATTATTTTTCGAATGAAAAGCAGTCCACCGTTATTTCATATTTTTATTAGAATTTTTTAATAAAACATTTTTGAACAAAAATTTGTTTTTCTCATTTTTATTCATAAATAGAATATGCTGTCATTGTTTCATTACAATATTAAAGGTAACTGAAATACAGCTTTGAACAATAATTTGTTAAATAATTCAAGTGATGTGTGATGTTGTTAATCAATTAAAATTGTAATTACTGTACTCACGTGGAAGATCATCAGATTCTGTTGTGTGTACAAAGTAGTGACGCCTCAGTGACAAATTTGATGTACTTCGAAGACGGCTGGATGAAACTTGTGTTTTTCTCGTGAGTGAAACAAGTTGCTCTTTCATCTGAAAGGTGTGAAAGTTTTCTTTAAAACCAGTAAATTCATTCATTTTCTCTTTGGCTGGGAATCGAAACCTCTTCTATTCTTGTGCCAAGTTTCAAACTAGGAAAACTCAAGCGAGTCTAAGCGTGAGCAGGCGTACAAGTAAATTCGATTTAATAGCGTAACTTGAAACGTAGATCATGAATAAAGTGAAGTTTTTTCGATAGAACTGTTTTTGAAAGGAAAAACAATTTTCAAACTGGCAGAGTAAGTTCAGATGAAAGGAAAAATTGATAATTAATTTTGCTTCTGCAGAGTAATTTATACTAATTATTGACATTACCTACTTCGATAGGGATTCACAAAAGATTAAGTTTTAAATATTACTTTTTGCTCTGAGTGTACGCGCGATGAAATATTACATAAAAAATTGTTAAAATAGATTGTATAATGATGTGTATATTTTCTGCATATAAAACGAAAAATTTATTGTTTAGCATAATAGGTCGTTGAGAAGGTAGTTACGAATGATACATTTTTGCCACTATCTACTGTTCTCTAAAATTTATATTACGGATTATTTGTTCAATTAAAAAACAGCGAAGAACGAGTATTTCTGCTCTCAGAAAAGTCTAACATATACGAACATGTATACATGATGTTGCTGTTTTAGTAACATCGTTAATCGTAACTGGGATAACTGAGCTTAAGGGGATTTTCTACTACCGTGAACGGAAAAAGTCAGCCATCTGTAGAATGCTTTATTCTTCACAAATAAAAAGCAATCGCAACAGAATTTTATATGTACTTTTATTGGCAACTTAATAAGGATTTATAATTATTAAAATAAGATTTTTGTACATAGATTGTTTCCATTTGTATAATCTCTTTGTAAACATTTGAATTCAAAAAAATGGCTGAATTCTTATTCTAGAAAAAATTGTGAAAACTAAGGAAAATATTTAACTTTAAAATGGAAGGTGTACAAGTTATAGAAAATTTTCAGATTTTATGGAAATTTAAAAAATACCGATTGACATTATTTTGAAGTGTTTTAGGTTCGGTATCCCTCAAATATAACATATTCTAGAATTAGAATTTTGCAATTCATTTTTTATCTCAAATAATTATTAAGAAATGGAGGACGATATGTAAAGCTCGATTTTGAAACTAAAATTTTATCGTTTTTATTATTTTTTTGGATTTCAATAAATATTTCAATTGAAAGCTACCCTATTTATCTAAACTTTGTTGTTAATACTAAACTATTTTTGCATTAATCTTGTTAAACTCAACCTTCTCTTATTAAACTCAAACGTGCATTTATTGCCTCCTTGTGAAGTAGTTAACTTTATTTCAGATATTTTCGACCCTACAGATAAATTCGTAATCGTGTTTACGATATCTCGAAGCCTCTATTACCCGGCACGACAGGGAAATTATCATTAAAAACTTTTCTCGCTTGCAACTTTTGTCAAAGTTTCCAATTGCCGTAGAAAATTACAGGATCAAAATACGCTTTTCCCTGCGTCAGAAGCTGTGTTAAACATTTGAAAGAACGAGGAAACGTAATGGCCGTGACGCTCTTATTAATCTGCATAGAAATCCCATTAAGTATAGCTTCTTCCTTTAATTAATATACACGATAACACGATTATTTATTTTTAATGAATGAAATGTACTTCGCTACTCTTCGATATATGAAAGTTTTCTTGTTAGAAATCTGAAAGACTAATTAGAGATGGGGCTCCTTTCGCTTCATTGTCATTTTCTCCGGGAAAGTTTAGGGGGAAGAAGGGGACATCTCCACTTTCCCCGTTGAATCCTGATTGAACGTGAATGTACACATTTCAGCTACCGTTCTTTAATACTCACTTCACTATCTAAATACTCGCCATAGCAGATAATTATTCTTTCCCCTTTTTAATCACCCAACACCATTTCTGTTTTTCAGAAGATTTAATTTTACAAAATCAAACTAAAAATTATAATTAAGAATCCAACCGATAGAAATAGAAATAAATCTCTCAAAGAAGACAACGATCTCTACATCTAATTGATATCAATTCAAATCATGAATTGAAGAAATGAAATATTTCAATCGTACGCAAATAAATTCAAACTCCGGGAAAGATCGCGGCCGATCCCGTTGAAGTCTGACAAAAAAACGAAACGATGCAGTAAACGTCCTTTAAAGTCAAGTACGAAGTTAGTTGGCAAGGAAGAGCACTGCGAAGGTTCATGCAATTAATCACTTAGCGGTTTTATTCAATTATGGCTTGCTGCAGCCTAGAGTGCCAGTGGAACGCGAGTAGTAGGAGGATTTAGGGTGGCTGGCGACAATGGCGTAGGTCGAAAGGAAAGTTGGAAGGCGAAGGAGAAAGCAATGGAAGCCATGCTAGAGTGGTATTTGATTTGTAAGTGATGGCCTAACACAAACGTTACTCTATAAGGTTGCTTTGAAGAAGACACGTCCTCCGCCTTCATTAATCACCAACGATAAAATCCATCAATAAGGTCCGTTCACCTTTTCAATAGGTACCATTAATGCATTCACACATTTCATGAGAAAAATTGATAAGAAAGTTGGTAAAGAGGCGATAGATGAAGAGTGTTTATCCGAACGAATTCAAGTTTCTTCGTGGCATTAGATAAAGCGTGGGTTGTTGGCTGGTACTTAGCACGCATCATGTGCCAAGAAAATTTCTCTGCGTTTCTATAGATCGTACCTTTCATCCGGTTGTTCTTTCGATGCTTAGGGTAGTTTTTAAGTCAGACTTTTGGCAAGTTCTAAGGAACGGTAAGATCGTATCCAGAGATCTTGGTGCCGCGATGTGTCCAAGTTTTCTAACTCTATCGAGTTTGCTTACCTCGCTAACTTTTCCTCGCGATCGTCCCTTTCATCCCCCCCTCCGTTCTTGTTTTCTATCTTTCATCGATACTTCTTTTCGTACGATTGGAAAAATCTCCGGATACGTACCGCAGGTGACAGCTATTCAGGTTCCATTCTCTCGGGACTTAAAGCAACTTTTGAAATCTACACGAATTTCTTAGCCACCAAAGTAAAAGAATAATGTGGGAACAAGACTTTTAGATTACCGGATTTTCGAAGATATCGCATAGATTTATTATCGCTGCTTCTTTTCTTCTTTTCCATTTATGAAATATTATTTTTGAATGTTTTTTATTTTGAAAGCTACGTTTTATTTTCAATAATAGAATAACAATAAACCTCTTGGTATAGATTACTTTTAATTCTGAGATAATCAATTAATTATATTTCTTTTCATCTTTCCAAAACTTTGTAAAATTTATCCTTAAGTTTTTTTTTAAACTCTAAATATAATTTTGTATTATGGAACCTTCAATTATTGAAATAGTTTATATTGTTATATTTTCCCGCCACTTTTCAAATACAGGAGCGCGGGAAAGTATTCAAATTAAAAATACTAATTAACCCTTGAACAGCAGAATCTCGGTCAATCAAGACCTTACAAAATATAATCAAGGATATAATTTTTAAAATGATAATTTTTTAAAAGGTGCAGTATAAAATGTAGAAAATTAATTGGGACTCTCTTCATGGTCCGCCGTCCGAGGGTTAAGAAAACACAATGCATATTAGTCACCGAATTAATTTGCGTACCTAATATATTTGTAAATTAAAGAATAATATTATTCTTGTTACAGGATGATTAAGAGATCGCAAAGGAAATATTCCCTTCAAGAATCATTCAGTGACAATGATCGAGCCACGTGACTGTTGAAAAAGTGTGTTGTTTCTCGGAAAAAATTCGTAGTGTGGAACAGGAAAAAATCGGTAGATAGTGACGTGGTTATCTTGGAAAAATAAAGTGTACGACGGCTGATATGAGCGAATACAGGATCTTTCGTGACGTTAAACGATCGAGTTACGGCCTAGTCGAAACAAATCCCGTCGATTAACCGGCACGCGATACGCCGGAAACGCGATTAAAACACAGTGCTTCCTTTTTTTTTTTTTGTTCGTTCGTGGCGCAGAGAAAAGCGACAGGTTCGCGTGAAAAGTGAAACGAAGCTGGATACAGGAAAAGGAGCGAGCGAACGGAAGGTGGGAAAAGAAAAATGTGGTGTCACGTCCTCGCCGTCATCGTCGCTTTGTTCACTCTCGTCTACGCTCAAGGTTAGTTCGAATCCATGTTGATACATCCCTGAATTCTTTTATACCTTTCAACTCGTAAATCACACGTTGATATGCGTGTGTTCCCCGTTCTGACTCCACGCACCTCTTTAATCCGCACACCGTATTCGGGCGCGAAACGTTTCACGCGCGCAGCTCGTCTTCCACGTTTTTATCGAATCTCCCCGTTACCCGGAGGAAGAAAAGTAAAATTTCGAAGCTACTTCGTATGCACGTACCTCGAGGAGACTGCGTTTCTCACACGTTCCGCGAGCATGCCCGGGACGAAAAGTTAAAAGCAGTGTCTCGAAGCGATGAAATTCGAAGCCGCCCGTACCGAACCTCCTAGACCCGACGATGAAGAATTTCCAAACTTCGATCGATGCGTTTCAATATGTATACAACCTATTTGAGAAAGTTATCGGCGAACCTCTACTTCGTTTCGGCGCGAACGAGTTCGTCGGAATTTCGCAATGTTCGTGACAGCGGTTATTATGCCGCCAATGAATAGAATGATTTCCGCCAGCGAGGCCACGGTTGCGCGATAAAACACGCCCAGATCAATGTAAGATGATAAACCCTGAAAATGTACTGTGACGCTTTCGAAATTTTCGTGTTTAATTGAATTCGAGAGGTTCCATCTGGTGGGAATGCAAATTAACCACTGTATTTCTAGGGAAGATTCTATTAACCCGCCTCTTGTTTCCCTTGATCTATGGTTGTTTTAACGAAAAATTGTCTCGGAAATGCGACTGTTTTATTGAAGATATATTCTGGGTCTATTATTAACGTTTTTATATACTGAATTTTACGTCATTGGGGATTTCATCGTTAAATAAAGGGTGGTTATTAATCAAATATTTAATCATTACCTTCTATTTATAATTGATGAGAAGGAGGATATATTTAATGCAATGGTAATGAATATATTTAATTGCATTATAAATATTGATTGCGTTAATAATCGTATTATATGATTTTATTGAATTTTCATTTTTAACCCATTTACTTAGTTAGTTGATAATTCTCTTAATACTGGTACGATATTGTGAGGAACACTAAGTAAAATATATTGCAAAATTAATTGAAATTAATGTGTCTTAAGAATTGAAAGATTGAAACATGTATCCATTTATGGGTCGCGTCATTGATTAGTAGTTTGCACTTAGCGCGAAAAGACTGTCTGATCATAAGGAGTAATACTACTTAATAGAGTTTGACCACGCAGAGCGTTGAATCATTGAAAGTATAAAAATATTGAAGCTCCTGATTGCAATATTCATTTTTTCACTGAACAATGGCAGAATATTTTAATAGAAAATATTCTATATCTAATGTTTCAATGAAAAAAATATATCTTTTCTAAGTTATGATACTTTATGTGTAGTATTACAAAATATCTACCATAACCATTTATTTGCTAATATATTTCCCACTCCTAGAAACTAATAGATTAATAAAGAAAATCGTTTTGAAAACGATGAAAACATTCGCATACTTCTGATACAATATAACTAAAAAACAAGGGAAACCATGTGACAGGAAAAATGTTCCTGTTTTCAATCGACTATATTTTTGATAGGAGACAAAAATCATTTGATAGTGCGATATATTCTCTTAACAATAGTCCGACTGTGCACGGGGATTTAGATGAGTTCAGTGGTTTCGCTGGTATCAGGTGACACATATCTATTGTTGCATGCGATCATTTATCATGCTCCGACGATGCACTTCCTAAAAGCAACAGCAATATTATTTTACCGAAGTCACGTTCTCTTGTACCCTTTTTTTTTGTCTCTCTTTCCACCCGCGTCCGACAAAAAGAAACTAACGAAGTTTTTGTACCACTTAACGTGACGAGCAATATTGCGAGAAATTCCCTTCGGTCTTTTTCTCATTTCTTTTCCATTCCACGGACGAGAATTTAGTGCTCCAGTTAAAACGAAGAGACAGAAATAATTAACGATACGAATATTCCTTCAATGATAGCGGCTCAGATATGCTCTCCTTCAAATACGTGTGCCAGTTTTCTCTCCTGTTTCTTTTTTTTTTTATCTTCCCTAAATGAGAATGGTTTCCAACATCTGTGTCGGAAGTAATAAAGGGTTTCTTCGCTTTTTGTAAACTCGTAGTCCGTTTATACTGAATGAACGTTTACTAGGACGTCATCAGCTAATATTTATATTTTTCGACATTTCATTATCAGCTTTTTTACTTGGACAAGATAGAGATATCTTGTTTTGAAGTCTTTGGGGTGTATTTACAGACGACGAATTTCTTATTTTTATTCTTCTTTCTGGCGATTTGAAAAGCTTATAATAAAAATTAATTTAATTAACTCTTTCAAGCATGAAATTTAAAAAAAGGGCCAAGGTTGCCCAGAAATTTTATTCTTATAAATATGAAATAATATAATCTGTATTTCAAAGAATTTTGATTTTTCAAAGTGGTATGAAAAATATTCTACCATCCATATTTAAGTATTAAAAAATTAAGATACTTTCAAAATTATCATGTAGAAAAAATTTAATAAATATTTCAAAGATTTGTAATTCATTAGTATTTCAAATAATTATATTGGATTTGGTATTTATTTCAATGTCTGTTGAAGTATTGATATACTTCTACTTGATAAATGTAATTTCTCAGATTTGCGGTACCTAGCATAAGATTTGATTATCCGAAAATCAGTGGTACTCGAGTAAACTCCCAAGTGGCAAGAAACTTCCGGAATTTCGCTTGACTTGCTCAGAATACGATTCGAATATACGAAATTTTCACTGCTGATGAGAATATATTATTAACAATTTAAACTTTGATTTCACAATTTGACGTAACATTTGTTCACGTGTAATCATAAAAATATTCAAATGACAAATCTTTGATTGAGACTTTTGTAACTTTAGGTTTCCTTTTATACCCCAAAAAATGTTTTTATCATTTAGAAATAAATTCTTATTAATTTAATATTTTTTGAGCCCTTCAAGGCGGTCTAACTCATATTGAAGTATTTATCTTAAATTAGAATGAAATTCTGATTTGTAGACACATCAAATTATTTCATTTTTTGATACAATCAACAGGATTAATAAAATGAACTTGTAAATTAAATGAAGTGAAAAGATAGGATCGATGTAAAGAGATAAGAACCAGAAACAGTGTACAGTGTAATTTCGCGTGACGATGGTTCGTGGAACAAAGATAAGACGCAAGTAATTAATTAAATGTATTCCAGAGATGAATGAAAGAAAAGCAATTTGTCAAATTCAATATGAAAGGGTATCAAATTATGTATCCTTTGAGCATGATTTGCGTGCTTACAATCAAAATTACTAATCACAGATTGTGTATTCAATTTTAGCTTTAAAAATTAAAAGCCTTTTGTCTTTTTTTTAGAAAAATTCACGAGGTTATTATTAAGTGTTTATATTTAATTACAATTGACTAGTCAACGACATTCGTATAAAATTGAAATTAAACAAAAACTGAAATACCTTTTATTGAAATTATAATAAAAATTGTTAGATCGCAATTCTATTGTTGCAATGTATAATTTTTAATCAAATATCAGTTGAATTCTTAAGAAATAGTGACTTGCAAAGGAAAATAGCAATTTTGTAGATATTTGAAGTGCAATTGTATCGTATTATTAGGTTGTCAAATTGCATACTTCCTCAAGAACGAAAGTAGCAGGATGTTCTTGTACACGAACGTGCATTCGACTTGAATGCACTTCTCTATGCAAAATTCCTCGTGTTACCTTAGCAAACAGCCATCCAAAGTTTTTATAAAGTAAAGGAGAGTTTTTATGCAAATGCGTGTTCGATCCATGCTCAAAATACGCCCACCTTGGTTAAAGTCACTATTTCCATCCCCTAAGACAAAGATGGCTTCATAACTTTGAATAATAGTTTAAAATTGATCGCCCTTTAAAATTATCAACGAAAAATATAAAAAGAAAACGAAATTTTAATAATAGATGAAAATATATTTTTTAATTTAAAATTTGAATCATTTATTTCGAAAGTTATTTTTGCAATTTTTATTATAATTGTAATTAGAAAAATTTTTCCTGTAAGAATATAAATATTATTCCAGTTTGATATAATGTAAAACAAAGTTTTGAAATAGTAATAAAAAATTATAATTTTGATTATGTATTATGTCTAAGGTAAACATAATACAATATGTATAGCGCTTAAGTTGGTTTGCACGAAAATAAAATATCTTTTTAAAGATTTTTCGCATTATGGGTTTTAAAAACACGATGCTCTCTGTTTTACAATTTACTTTCACTCGCGTGTTCATATGGTAGCAAACTGTTGCATATAATAAAGGAAGCGCGTAATTCAGTAGAACTCATGAATGTTTTTCGTGTATTGTAATGTTTCTCCTCAAACTGGAAAACTAAACAGACCGAACTTTCATCAGAACAGATGAATATTAACGAAGTTTATTCCCAAAGACCGTGTATTATCATTATAACTGCAAAAGTTTTAAGCATGTAAATTAACTTTTTCGTGGCATAAGGTCTTAAAGCATCTACTAAAATTTTGTAAAGGTCCAAAAAAAAAAAAGAAAAAAAAAGAATCATTCAAATTCATAAAATATTTACGGAGAAGTAGTTTTCTCTCGCATTTTAATAATAAAGATACGGTACTTGTTGAAAGAAAAGGTAAGTACTTGGTCAAAAAGTAAAGCTATCTTCTGAAAACTCCAAGTTATCATAAGGACAGCAAAATATAGTTACTTTGTAATTACTGTTACTCCAGAAATATCAATTTTTTCACCTTAATGGATAAGTGCCGTATGAATTTTGTTCTATTTGTTTGCCCTTCTGCAAATCGTTTCTATATTTCCATGTTTCACGCTGTTCGCATTTACACGTTGCTCTGGGAGTCAAGGACTTTGTCACGCCTATTCTTCGATTTGTTTTTACTCCAGTGGAGACACGACCCTAGGTTGTTGCGCGTCGCGAGACCCTTAGTGCAACCGAATTGAGG